CTTGACTTCTCTGCAGCCCCCAATGCTGTCAATTACCCTCTCTTTCTTGATACTCTCTTCTCTCTAGTTGTTGTTGTTGTTGTTGTTTTGTTTTTCGTTTGTTTGTTTTTTTTTTTACAACACTCTGTCATGGTTCTTCTGTTGTCTGACTACTCCTTCTCAGCCTCCTTTACTGGATCTTTGTCTAGGTCACCACTCATTAATGGTAGGCATCTACTAGGGTTCTATCTTGGGCCCTTCCATTTCTCTTTTCCTTCTATATTGTTTCATTTGGTAAGATCTCAACTTCTATAGATTCAATTATCATCTCAATGCAATCGCAATTGCAATCCAAACAACTCTCTTGATCTCCAGTCCCCTGTCTCCAACTGCTTATTAGACATCTCTGATTAACCTCTAGATACCTTAAACTTAACATATCCCAAATTAAATTCAACATCTTTCCCTCCTCCCTCAACTCTCCCCTATTTTGCACTTTTTTATTACTGTCAAGGGTGCCATTATCCTGTCAATCACCTTGGCTTGCAATCTAGCTCTTTCTCTGTTTCTGTCTCTGTCTCTGTCTCTATCCCTGTCTCTCTCTCATTTTCTCCCCTCTCTCTCCTCTCTCCCCCTCTCTGTATACACACACACAGACACACAGACACAGACACACGCACACACACAAATATATCTTCGTCTCCTGCTATATCCAATAATTTGTCACCAAGTCCTGTCAAATTTACCCTTGTAACATCTCTTGTATTTGTCCCCTTCTCTCTTCTGACACTGCCGCCATACTGGTTCAGGCCCTTATCACCTAATTCTTGGACTATTGCATAGCCTGCTGGTTGCAATCTCTGCCTCAAGGTTCTCCCCATTCCAGTCTTCCCTCTTCCACTCGGATATCAAATAGATCTCCCTAAAGCACAGATCTGATCAAAAACTATAATGACTGCCTAGTACCTTCAGGATCCAAATATAAAATCCTCTGTTTGTTATTCAAAGCCCTTCATTTCCTGACCCCCTCCTACCTTTCCACTCTTCTCACATCTACCTCCCCCATACCATGTATTCTACAATCCAGTGACATTGGCAAAAGATACTCCATCTCCCCACTCCTTGCCTTTTCACTGGCTGCTCCCCACCCCATGACTGGAATGTTCTCCTTTCTCATCTCTATTTCCTGGCTTCCTTCAAGTCCCAGTTAAAGCCCACCTTTACAGGAAGCTTTTTCCAGTCCCCTTCATTTTAGGATCTTCCCTATGATGATTATCTTTAATTCTGTAGAGATCATTTGTCCATAGTTGTTTGCACCTTATCTCCCCCATTAGACTGGGAAGTCCTCTTCGGAATTTCTTTGTAATCTTAGAGCTTAGCACAGTGCCTAGAAAACAGGAGGTGCTTAATAAATGTCTATTGACTGACTGACTATTGACTCAGATTGACTGACTGAAGCAAGTCTTGCCTCTCCTTCTCATTCTGGTGATGTGGTCATGAAAAACATTTAACCCCTCAGTGCCCAAACTATGTTGAAGATGAGTTACTGGTCTGCATTGGTGGAAGGAATTTTATATAGTAGGAGTTCCAGAAGTTATTTATTACATACTTGGTAAGTGCTCAGCCTTGTGCTAAGTGCTAGGAATACAAATACAAGATAGCAAAATAGTCCCTGCCCTCAAGGGGCTTATGGGCTAATGGGGGAAGATTATGTAAGGAAATGATAGAAAGTAGGGAGTGGGGAGAGATTACTGCATTATAGCATGGTTTGAAAATGGCCAAAAAGTGATCTGGAAGCTTGGTTCCAAGCAAAAAACTCACCTACCAGAGTCTAGCATGGACCTTGGTCTCTGATAAAATCATAGATGTCTATGTACATATATGTATACACACATATGAAATGATATATATATATACATATATAACATATATACATATAAAGCATATATGCTTGTGAATGTATGTGGCTGTAAAGTTTGCAAAGCATTTTATGAACATTATCTCATTTAAGGTTCATAACTACCCCATGCAGTAAGTACTAGGTTTTTATTATCCCATTTTGTGGATGAGAAAACTAAGTCTTAGAGAAATTAAGCTCTTATTTACCAAAGTAGCAAGTATCAGAAATATCAGGGTCAGGATTTGAACTCAGGTCTTCTTGACTCCAAGTCCAGTGTCCTATCTACTTACATGATGAGTCTTCTTTCTTGAATTAACTTGTTAAGAAATTCCTCTGGTGAGGACTTGTCACTTTAACTTGCTCAATGTTTACATTTTCCTCTCTATAATCTTGGGATCCTTGTACTTTCTGAGCTCTTAAAGTCAATTATGTAGCCAGTAGATATTGGGGTGTCAGCAAAAATATCAGGGCAGGAATCCTAAGAATGAGTCTGACCGATTGCCCACATATATGGGTATCGTTCTCTGTGACCAGTGACGTGTTGAAGCATACCCAAGGTGATGAATTCAGGATAATGAAAATGAAGCAAAAATAGGTCAGGGCTGCATAAAGCAGGTACAATGGATCTCGAGGAAACCTTTAAAATGCCTGCCAGAAGGGGCATCACCAGTCACGCTGCATGATTTCCTTTCTTATTTTTGTAGTATCTTTGAACAGAATTTGGTGCTAGTTTGTAGGATGGATTGGAGAGGGAGGAAATCAGGCTAGTGATCCTATTCATTTGACAGAAGAGGAAACTGAGGCCAGATAGAAGTGCCTGGACCAAGAACATAATTCCGAATCTCAGAACTGAGACTCTCAAAGTCATCTATTAACCAACCAAGAATCTTCTCAGTGGCATCTCCAACAAGGAGCCACCCAGTCTGCCTGCAGACATCCAAGGCAGAAGAGCCTGCTCCTTCCCAAGTCAGTCCTTTCTACTCTGATAGGCAGGAAGATTGTTTTTCCCTAAAAATGAATTTCAATTTGCTCCTTTGAAACTTCCGTTCAGTCTTCCTATTTCTGCTCTCTGGGGCCAAGCAGAACAACTCTGCAGTCTTATAAAATGGCTACAGGTGTGCCACGTTGTAACTAACCATTTTAGTCTTTAATATATATGTATTCGTGTGTGTGTGTGTGTGTGTGTGTGTCTGTGTGCGTGTGTGTGTGCGTGTATAAATTAACAAGTATCTTTTTCTCCTGGCCACCCTTCAAATTAAAATCCTTGTTCTTCAAATTGGAAAAATAAAAACAAATATACATGTAAATCATCTTGTCTTTAGGATCTCTGGGTCCTCCTTATGCCCTTTATATTTTTCACGATGATAGATAAGCCTGAGCTAAATGCCCAGGCCATCAATCACGCTCCCCTTATAGGGGACTTGATTTTTCTCTGTCTCTACCGTCCTGGATAGCTAAGCAGATCTCGTAAGAAGAGCAAGTTGGCAGTCATATCCCAGGGTTCCTGACAAAGCAAAACATCAGACTGTCTGAGACTTTACCAGTTGGCTGTATAACCTACAGACCTTGTCTATGTGTCATCCATTTCCATGCCAAACCTTGACCTTAATTTTCTGTCTCCCTGGAGGTTGACATAGATGAGTCAACTGTGGCAACATCTTTCAAAAATACAGAGCTGGCTGGTTATTCAAAGCAACGAAAGTATGAGAGGAAGGCTTAGGTATAGTTTGTATGGATCATGTTGTTCAGTCATTTCAGCCATGTCTGACTCTTCATGACCCATTTGGGGTTTTCTTGGCAAAGACGCTGGAGAGGTTTGCCATTTCCTTCTCCAGCTCATTTTACAGATGAGGAAACTGAGGCGAACAGGGTTAAGTGACTTGCCCAGGGTCACATAGCTAGCAAATGTCTGAGGCTGGCTTTGAATTCATGAAGATGAGTCCTCCTGACTCCAGGCCCAGAACTCCATCCACTGCACTATCTAGCTGACCATCAACCATGATTTTGGCTAAAGATGAATAAACATCTATTTATTACTTTACTTAGACTACAAATCTCTCGTCTTCTACTTGTTCCCATCTTTTTCTCCCCACACCCATCACCAATCACCTCGAAGTTGGACAGGTGTTTTTAATCACTTTCAACAAAGAAATGTTGGATTCATTCTCCGGAAGATTTTTCCAGAGAGAGGATCCAAAAGATGCCTTGGTGTATTATTCCCCCTGGTAACAACAATTCTGGCTATCAAAATATGGGGATTCTGATGATGGAAGGATTTCTCAGGAGGGAAGGGGCTCCATGAGTTTTCACTCATGCTGTCATATTCTGTAAATAGCCCCAACTCCCTACACACCCATCAAGACTACCAGCAGAACCAAGGCTTCAGGTCACATCAGGACTGCAGACTTGTGGGGCTGAGCTGACTTCCTCCACTGAGGAATTCAAATGAATTCATTCCCAGTTCATACCATCAGCCTGGTTACCAGAGACCGCTAATGATGGGCTCAGTGAATAGTTTGTACAGACTCCACTGAGCTATTGAACGGTGGTGGAGAGGTTCACCACAGCGGAAGTTACAATTATTAGGGCTCTGCGACAAAACAAAAACCACAGTCAAGATTTAGAGGTGGAAGGAACCTGACGGATCATCTAGTCTAACTCTGTTATTTTTTGCCAATCAAACAATAAGCATTTAATGAATGCCGACTCGGTGCCAGAAACTGTGCTAAGCATGGGAGACACAATTGAAATAAATGCAATAGTTTCTGTCCTCAATGAGATTACATTTCATCAGGGGCGACACACAAGTATACATAAAATAAATACCAGTTAATTTTTTTTTGGCAGGGAGAGGCATTAGCAGTTGGGATAAGTTAATTATCCAAGGTCACATGGCAGAACTAGAATTTTAGCCAAGTGGTCCTCTAGGGGCTTGCAGGCTCATAGCTCCAGAGGTGAAAGGGACTTTGGAGGTCATTGAGTCCAAACTCTTTATTTTTTACAGATGAGGAGACTAGAGATGTAAAGTGATTAGCCCAAGGTCATACAGTTAATAAATGACAGAGGCAGGGTTGAAACCCAGCTCAAATTTGGCTCGAATTCCTGTTTGCTTTCCATCGGAGCCAGCCGCATTGCCAGGAGGCAACAGTCTGAATCGTTTTGCAAGCACAACTCAAGACTTGCAGAAAGTAAGTCCTAGTCCCAGAGCTTTTATAATAAGCTAATATGATAAAACCGCAGTTATTGGGAATTCCCATTGTTCACACCTGAGCACTGCTAAAGAGCAAGGTCATGGCCACTGAGATCCTTCTGGGCAGCAGAAAGGAAATGTAAGGAAGAAAGTTAGAAAAGCTGGGCAGGGACATAGGTTGCGTATTCACTCTCTAATCTAACCATGGCTGTGGGCCTTGCATATGGTGCTTGGATTGAATTTGACCACCATCTAGTGAAAGAATTAAGTAAGTGCACAGATGAGTAGGAGTGATGATAGCTTGAGTCTGATATGGTGGTGGATGGACTAAGGCTGCACTTCCAACTTTTTCAGGACAACCAAACCAATGAACACAAGAATGATCAAGTCGGGGCCCAAAGCAAAACCCAAAAAACACCTGTGGCTTTGGGTTGGATCCAGTCTAGATTATGACCTTTGCAATTTGATGACTGTATTTGTTGTTTTTCAAGAACTGTCCAGGCTGAGGACCTAAGAGTGGCACGCTGGGCCAAATACCCGTCTCCCCGAGGAGCTTGTCTTCAGAAGCGGTGCTGATGGACCTGAGGAAGTACCTTGGGACAGCTGGAAGAACGACAAATGTGGAGTCTGAGGACGTGAGGTAGAATCTGGGTTCAACTGTCAGCTCCCTCTCTAAGTGATCCAAGCCAGGTAAGACTCTCAGGTTTACCTTACCTTGCTCCAAAGAAAAGGTAAATTTGCTTTTCAGCTCTGGTGCTGGCCGCTGGTTGTTTCTATATGATAACTAGAGCTGTTCCAAAGTGGATTGCACTATCCTAGATGATGGTGAGTTTCTCTTCCTTGCAAGTCTTCCCACAAAGACTGGGAAACCTTTTGTCAAGGATGTGCAATGGCAGAGGGTGTCTTTATGCAGGTATGGTTTTGGATGCATGGCCCTCAGGGCCCTTCCAACTCTGAGATTCTGTTATATACAGAAAAGAGATGTCATTGGCACTTGTCACTTCAAACACCTGTGTCTGCTATCAAGCTTCCAAAGCTTGGATGGCTGGCTTAGTTTGAGAATTCATAGCCAGGGTATTATTATCTATGTTGGTCTTCAGCATTGATCCAAGCTTCCCATTATGGTATTGAGAAGAAAGTTTCCATTTATCTCTACTAGCTCTCCTTGCAGGTCAGGGATTCTTAATTGTGTATACTTGTGTGTGCCTCCATGGGCATTTCAGAATGTTTTTAAATGCATAAAGTAAAATACAGAGGATTACAAAGGAAAGCAATGGTATTAAATGCATCTCTCTCTCTCTCTCTCTCTCTCTCTCTCTCTCTCTCTCTCTTTCTCTCTCTCTCTCTATTAAAAGTTCACTGATTCCAGGTTAAGAAACTGCTGTAGGTTCAAGCAACCCTATCTAAAAGACAACATGGCAGCCACCAACCCCCAAGTCACTTCCCTCACTCATTAGAAAAATGCTGTTGTGTCTATAAAGCTTGCTACTCTTTTATTTGCCTTCTCTTACCAGTTGCTCAGTTCCTTACTCTTCTCTATTCTCCAGCCTTTCTGATAAATGGCTAATTAACATTAAAACAACTTTACTAACTCTGTTAATGACCCCTGCCTGAAACAAACTCTTTCTAGTTTCAAAGCTGCATTTAAGTAATATTCTGAAAAGGGCCCAAGCCTTTTACTTACTGCATTTAAACATTTTGAACATATAGAACAAATTCATTTTTAAACATCCTTATAAGCAATTTCTTTGTAAATTCACATAAACTCTGCAAGTGGTAACTCCCTTCATCCAATTAAGTCTGGGGGATGCTCTCTTGATAGTGTAAATCTTTAAAGGTGGTAGAAGAATCAAAAGTCATAAATTGGGAAGGGACCAGTGGTTGAAGTTTAAGTGTTCCGTTATCTAATTTATTTTTGATCTCCTAGGGAACATTGCCCCCCCCCAAAAAAAGCATCCTGAAAAGAGTAGACTTGGACTGACAGCTCTATTCTAGTATTTATACATATGGAAATAATATATGCTCAACCCCACAAATTCAAAGTGGAACGTGTGAGAGTTACTAAAATAGGAATGATTAAATAATATAATAGTTAATATTTATATATCCATACATATAGGTATCTTAGACTATGAACATATAAACACACATATAAATATATGTGTAATGCTATTTTGACCACAACTACTCCAGATATCAACAAAAAGATCAGGGTGCTCGAAAAAATGGTTGACCAGAGATCTACCAGGGATCTATTTTTAAACACTGTTATAAGAAGTTTCCTTGAAACTCCAAGAGGACTCTAAGTAGCAATTCCCTTAATCCAATTAACTGAGGAATGGGGGAAGGGAGCCATCTAAATCTCTTTGATCCTTGGGGAATTTTGCCCAGACCATGGAACTGGCAGAGAGGGTTGATGTGACTCATAGCTCTACCACTCCCTGCCTTTGGGATTGTGGGAAGAGGAGAAGCTATGCAGAAGAGGAAGAGAAGAAATCACAGGAGGGCTCAAAGAGTGGCAGCCACAGGAGGGCAGCTGCTATGAGTAATGGGCTCTGGGACTCTTGAAGCCAAGGCAGCATGCTTGAATCATGCATTGATACAGATAGACACTGTGCTGCTAAAACCAGTTAGTACTCTAGACTGGGGTCTCCAGTCTTTTATTTCTCCTCTCCTCTTTCCCTTGTTTTCTTCTAAAAGGGGTGAGTCTGATGTCTTCCTGCCTTCCCCACTCCCAGGCACAGGCTTACTCTGTTTCTTAAGTTTCCTATCATTCTATGCTTAAATATTTACTTTGTCTCTTATTCCAGTGGTTATGATTAAAGCTATCAACCATCTACATTATTGATCAGTGTGTATTATTATTGGAATTCAGCTGAGAATGGGTGATTTGGAAGCATCCCAGAAAGGGAGAGAGACTTGAAATTGAAGTATTTTGCTAGAGCACAAGCTTTAGCTGGGGACTCAGAGCCACAGAATATTGAGTCATTTTCCTAAGATAGAATACTTAACAGCGTGGTTCCTCTAGGGAATGAGTTAGCAGTAGCTGACATTGAGGCTTGGCTTCCCCCATTTTTTCTGAGTTTGGCTTAAAGGAAAGCCACTGCCAGAGGGGAGGGGCCAGAGTAACTGGAGAGAAATTTACATCCATAGGACAGGAACATCCTGGCCCACTGAGAGGTGGGAGGGAGGTAAGAGTGACTGACAGTCTCACCTGACTGCTAACCACCTTAGCACAGCACAACGGCTTCACCTGCTAGACAGATACAAAATACAAAGTGATTTGGAGAGAGGTGGGGGAGGCACTGGCAAATAGCGCACCTGATTAGGTGGGTTTTCATGCAGATGATGGCAATTAAGCAGAGTAAGGAACAGGAAGGATGCCAGTTTGGTTGGACTGTATTAATTGTGATAGAATTGGACAGTTCTGGATAGCATTAATTACACTAATATGAAGAGTATGTGAAAGGTCTTAAGATATAATAAGGCTGGAAAGGTAGTTTGGGATCAGGTTACAAGGCTTTAGAAGTCAATTAAAAGAGTTTCTATTTTATTCTAAAATAAACAGGGCTTAGGACCCTTAGGGCAACCTTCTATGGAGCAAGTGCTCCCCAGTCTCTTCCTAGTTTTGCCACTATATGGGTGATTACAAGATAAATCTCAAAAACCCAAAGCAACAGAGTATCAGTACATGATTCACTGAAATATGTAAATGTAATAAATGGAAGTTTGTATGTTCCTCAAAATAATTGCTTTTAGGCTTTGGTTCTAATTTGGTTCTATCAATAATTTGACATTGTAATTTTAGTCACTTAATGTTTGTTAAATTGAATTTACCTCCCTGAATCTGAGTTTATTTGTAAAATAAAAAGGCTTGGCAGAGATAATCTCTGAGCTCCTTTTCTTTTTTTATATGAGGCAATTGGGGTTAAGTGACTTGCCCAGGGTCACACAGCTGGTAAGTATCAAGTGCCTAGTCTGAGACCACATTTGAACTCAGGGCCTCCTGACTCCAGGGCTGGTGCTCTATCCACTGTGCCACCTGGTTGCCTCTCTGAGTTCCTTTTCAAAGGATCATAGAATTTCCAAGTTTGGAGGGATCTAAGTGGCCATGGAGTCCAATCTCAGGCAGTGATCAACAAACATTTATTAACCTTCTGCTATGTAACAGGCACGGTGCTAAGTCCTGAGGACCTCAAATTGAGGCAGAATGTCCCCTCCTCTGTGCATGATCTGTGTTCAGTGAGCTTTTCCTGAAAGCCCTCCAGGGAGACAAGACTCCTTACACCCTTCCAACAGCTCTCATATTCACAATATTGTTTCCCTGCCCTCAACCCTAAATCTGCCTGATTTTGCCTGTGACTCTTGGTTCAGTCAGTCAGATAATGAACATTTATTAAGCACTTACTATGCTGTACTAAGTCCTGAGAATCCAAAGAAAGACAAAAGATGGTTTCTGCCCTCACAGAGCTCACAGTCTGATGGGGGGAGAACAACAAGCAAATAGCTATGTATAAACAAGCTATATACAGGACTCTATATTCTGGATCCTCCTTCTCCTCCTGCACCTCTTTCTCCTCCTCCCACTCTCTTCTTCTTTCTCCTCCCCCACTTTCCTCCTTTTCTTTTTCCTCCTTCTCCTCTTTCTCCTTCTCTCCCTCTCCTCCTTTCCCTCGACTCTTCCTTTCTCCCCTCCCCTCTCTTTTCCCTCCTCTTTCTCCTTCTCCATCTCCCCCTCTCTCCTCCTCCTCCTCCTTTTCTCCCTCTCCTTCTTCTCTTAATCCTTCTCTCCCTCTCCTCTCTGTCTCTTCTCCTTTCCCTCTCCTCTTCCTTCTTCTCCTCCTCCCCCTCTCCTCTCTGTCTCCCCTCCTCCCCCTCTCCTCCTTCTCCTCTTCTCCCTCCTCCTCCACTTTCTCCTTTTTCTTCCCCCCTCCTCCTCTTTCTCCTCTCCCCCCTCTACCACTCCCTGCTCTATCCCTCAACATAAGCATGGGACAGTGTAACGTGGCCAAGGATGAGAAGAACCCAAAGGGCAGACTGGAACCTGTGCAGACAAGACACTGTGAGGCTCTGCAATGGTGCCCAGTAAGGAGAAGGACCTATCCGGGGCTTCTGAAGTCCTTTTCCTTCCAGATTCACATCATTTTTTTCTTCCCTAACATGCAAAGATGATGATGATGAAGGAGTTGGAGAAAACAATACGAAGTTTCTCATGAAGCTTCGTCTCAGAATTTCAGTGTTATTCCTGACACCCATTTTCTTCTATTTAATTTAAAGGGGCCAGGCAGAGCAATTCTAATCCCTTTTTTGCACAACAGCCTTTCAAATACTTGAAGACAACTGCCGGGCCCCACCCTAAGCCTGTGGGAATGCAACGGAATCTCTGAGAGCACAAACACAAATCTCTCCCCTGTCCTGGTCACTCTCCTCTCCGTGCTCCCGAGCTCATCCACATTCTTTCCAAAATGATGTACCCAGATTAAATGGAAGCAATTAACGATTTGGCACCTCTGATACCCATTCCACGACCCAAGCTCCTGGGCTACCTCAAAATTAACTGCCGCACAGTGTCCCTGTTCTTATTTATAAGGAAAACAGGCCTCTGGTTAACTCCGGAGTTTCTGATCCCTAAGCCCAGGCTTGGGACTGCATCACATGTCTGCAGGAGGCTACAGCCCAGAGCCTGAAGG